GTGGTTATACAGGGAAGGGTTGTCAGACGGTGAAGATGGTACAGATGGTGTATGATGGTCGAAGTGTGTCAGATGGTTGTCAGATGGTGTATGATCGTGTATGATGGTCAAAGTGTGTCAGATGGTTGACAGATGGTGTATGATGGTGTAGTGTGGTTATACAGGGAAGGGTTGTCAGACGGTGAAGATGGTACAGATGGTGTATGATGGTCGAAGTGTGCCAGATGGTTGTCAGATGGTGTATGATCGTGTATGATGGTCAAAGTGTGTCAGATGGTTGTCAGATGGTGTATGATGGTTATGATGGTCGAAGTGTGTCAGATGGTTGTCAGATGGTGTATGATGGTGTAGTGTGGTTATACAGGGAAGGGTTGTCAGATGGTGAAGATGGTACAGATGGTGTATGATGGTCGAAATGTGTCAGATGGTGTATGATGGTGTAGGGTGGTTATACAGGGAAGGTTTATCAGACGGTGAAGATGGTACAGATGGTGTATGATGGTCGAAGTGTGTCAGATGGTTGTCAGATGGTGTACACCATCCGACACCACACTACAAGCGTCTGACAAACAAAGCATCTGACACAATCTTACACCATCTTCACCACCTGACAACACTGTTCAGCTGAACCATGCTATACACCATCCGACACCACGCTACAAGCATCTGACAAACAAAGCGTCTGACACCATCTTACACCATCTTCACCACCTGACAACCGATGGCTATATTGGACATATATGGGTTTATTGGTAAACCGGTAAAATGGTTTTTCACTTGGTTTTCAAAATTGGAAATTAAATCGAAAGAAACGATCGAAAGAATGAAGGATTGGCATCCGTTCAGTCAATGTGAAATTTCTGCTTGGACAATTGAAATGCAACGAAGCTTCATCTTAGCATTATTTTTGTTCGTTGTTTAGCCTGTTTTTTGTCTGTTCTCGAAAACTCGTTTGATGATGGTAAGAAACGTGGTTTCAATTTTTCAAAAAACGCCGGTTTCATGGTTCGGTTCACAGATTTCGCACTTTTAAATTAAGCGGAGTTTTAGATGCAGTGTTATTTTGTGGTTGAACATCAGGATTTCAATTCCTCTTTCAGACTTTCCAGGACTTGGATATCAATTACAACACTACCAGCAGATGATTATTTCATATTAAGCTTATCTTATTGCCACAAGACGGTGCGAGGTAAGAACGACAGGTGAGGACTTTGCGAAAGTCTATAATTAAAGATTATTCTTGCCGTGAAGTGTACAAACGAAAATCCAGGAAGTGCATGTTTTAGGTTAAGTTCTTTTTCAAGCTCATGCACACGTCTGCGCTCTTATCCTTTTTGTCCTTCTGACATCTGTTTCCAAAGCAGTAAATGCAAAGAAGTGAAATCTTGCATTCAATGCCAGTGCAATGAAAAGACAGTTAAATATTTTCTTCTATGATGGTAACTTAATAAGCCATAATCCATAGTAGAAGTCAAATGACCTCCACGACTCCACATAATTTAGATCTTTAGAATGTCTATGTAGAAAAGACATCTTCACATTTTTATCAAAAGGCCATGACCAGTCTTATCTGGCAATGAGATAACGAGAGATCCAATGCTCTGAAACTCTGTAATATTGTATTATCGTCTTGAGAATTAAAACTGTATTTGGAAGTGCTTGGGCACATAGCAGCGTTTCATGCAATTCTTCCAGTCCCAAAAGACGCACAAATTGCGCAAGCGCAATAAAGAAACGGCTTAATTGATGCGCGACTATAAACCAAAATCTTACCTTCGAAATGGCAATTTTTACCTTGCCTGCAACATTATTTTACACCCTCGGGTATAATGATATAGGAAGTGCTAGCAATGGGTAAAGTTTTCTTGCAGCGCACTTGTACGAAAATACATCAATTATCAAAACTGCCATTTAAACGAGGAATAAGAATCCGTACGACTTCATCGCTCAACTGATTAATTAACTTTGACTGAATTATTGATGACGTGCTAATTAGATATCTCTCGCCCCAGTCCACTTGCGAGAGATAACGTCATTGTTTTACAAGGTATAAAACACGTCCAGTCGGTTTTATCTAAACTAGCAAGAGTACAAAATTGTCATGATATCTAACTTTTAGTAGGGTGATTAACTGGTTTATCTAGTAAACAGTATTGTGATGCTTCATAAATTCCATATTAAAAATTTAAAGTGCCCATATCATGGTTTTGGAGTTTGCATATCTCGAAAGTTTAGGGTATTTTAAGACACTTTGCAATATATTTTGTTATTGAAAAATTTCATCTTGATGGATTTATTAGCTCTTAAAGTTACCGGACATGACGTCAAAAGGAGAATTTTGTTGCAATGCAATTCTCCTTTTGACGTCATGTCCGATAACTTTAAGAGCTAATAAACCCATCAAGATGAAATTTTTCAATAACAAAATATATTGCAAAGTGTCTTAAAATACCCTAAACTTTCGAGATATGCAAACTCCAAAACCATGATATAGGCACTTTAAGTTTTTTGTTTCCTGTGTTGAATACAAGCAATATTCCCTTTCGTTTGAAGCTTCTCAGGAGGCAATATTCCTTGTATCGGTGGTTGTGCTGTCTCCATGATCGTGTGTACTGATCTTATCTGGCTGCCACCATGTTTCAATGACCATAAATAAGGTGCAATTCAAAGTTACTAACATAACACACTACAAAAATACAAAACTCTAAGCCACAGAATAGAGACAAACAGAAGATCGACTTCTTGGTTTTTCTTATGATTTTGGCGTAACCGTAATTCGTCATCAAAATGCTGACGCCATGATCCTAGCCAGTGTGCTTTAGAGATCACCCCCTGATAATATTCAAAATGGTGGACATTCAGAGGTCGTGTGAATGCCTCTCATAAGCGCACTGGACCATGAAGACCATGGCGTCAGCATTTTGATGACGTGGTGTTAGTATAATTGTAACACCTTTGAAATTTGCAAAAAGCACCATAGCAAGGCTAGTCGGGCTTGATTGCTAAATCTAGCATAAACGTCGATATTTTTTAAGATTTTATTTCTCAGAGAGAATATAATATATAGTCTTTCATTTATGCTTTGCAAAACTGTTAGCCTTGAATACTCTATAAGGCGGTAATGGTTACCTTGTTTGAGACTAATTTCCGAACTAGAAAAGGGATTGACAACTACAGTATTTTTCGTCATTTTCGAGTCGGTTTATAGGTTTTAGTGACTGTGTATTCTCTACGTTCAGTTGTGCAGAGTAAACCATACAAAGCTCAGCAAAATTATCCTCACGATAAATAGTTGTAAAATATATAAATTATTTACAATGTTTACTAATATATTTATTGCTTCAGACTTTGCCATCCAATGTGTTACTGGCGTATCACTTTGTATGCAGATTATCGCATGGTTACGTCATTGTATCATATCTAAATCGCTGGATAGCAGTCAGAAGCACTGTAAAAACATACTTTTAACATTTCATTGTTAAAGATATATTTTACAACTATTTGTTGTCAGGATAAAAGTATATTTGCTGGGCTGCCTGTGAATAAACTTGGGTTATACATTTCCCTGATCATGAGCTAAACTTGCATCTTTTAGGCGGGAAATGACTTGCTTTGGAGTTGTCAAATATTTCTTGTTGTGGACACTACTTCTTTGTATCATCTCCTGGACCAATGGTTCAAGTGGAGACAGAAGTGAGCCTTTTCAAAGATGTTTAACACGTTGTCTTGGCTTGTGTAAGCGTAATAACGCCTATCCTGGAAAGCTGCCAGTGTATTTAATGGTGTTTGGTTGGAAATGTTCTGATGAATGCAAGTATACATGTATGCACAAAGTCACTCAACGAGCTATTGTGAGAGGATGGAAGATTGAGCAATTTTATGGCAAAGTAGGTCACAAACTCGAATTTATTGAACATAACAAGATTTTTTCGCACAAGTTTGGCTATATTTGAGGAATTATATTATTTTGGATGCTTTTCATAAAGATTGCGAACAAAACGTTTCTTGAGAAAACATTGAATGGAGAGAATTTCTGTTTCAATTCTATTTCATAAGCAGATAAAATTAGTGCAACTTTACTCATTTAGAATAATTGTAGAACTCAGAGCCACAAACTTAGTGAAGTGTGGAGACAAGTGACGCAGGGTCCAGCAACTGTACAGCGAAGGCCCGTCTATACGATACGACTAGTCTTATACGATTCTTATCCCGGCGCATGTACTCGAATAAAAACGTGCAAACATTGCATTTTTTAAGGATAGTAGTATTACCTCCCCCCCCCCCCCCCCC